GCAGGCAGAGTCGCGGCTGGAGGCCGAGGTTCAAGACGCGCGGGACCAAAATGAGCTGCTTGAATTCAGGGTGCTTGAACTAGAAGTAAGAGACTGTCCCACCATCAAACTGTCAGTGGGAAGCGAGAATAACAATCTTAGCTCCAGATGCAAAGCGTACATACAGTGACCCATCAGGCATGCATGTGTTATGCTGTCTATACTGTTCCTGACTGTTCCTTATCATATGCACCTGTGTTCTCTTGTTTTTTTTGTCTGCATGGCAGCTGTTTGCGTATCATCCACTGAACTGGATTTGTTTTGGTTGTGTTTATTTTTCTGAACAAACTGTGTAAAGATGAATATTATTTTTTAATGGAATAAAATATATTTAAGTTTAACATCCATTTCAAACTTTGAGTTTGTCATTTTTTGTAAGCATGCTTCTTTGTTTAATTGAAGTTAAGAGTCATATATTTTTTTTCCCACGTATTGGAACAATGAGGCAAATGCAACTGCATCATTATACTAATAAATCTGATGTTTTCCAAATTTTTATTCTCCAATTAGGGAAAAAGTCGAATCATATCCTTAGTTTTTAGTTTTAGCATGCATCCCTGTCGATTTGTTTGAGTTTCACCTCCATCGTTTTGGCAGATCCCGACCAATGTTTTCACTGTCATGTAAGTAAATCCTCAGTCCCTCCCATTTCACTGCATTCCCTTTTCACATTGAAAAATAGTCATTTGAATTCTTCATTTATTTAGAACCATTAGTGTCTTTACAAGTCATCCCTGTATGGCTGTTTTTAGATGTATTCAGTATTGAGATGGTGTCTGTTTGTGTAGGAAAGGGAACGCAGATCTCCTGCACTCAATCTCCACATGTCTGCATTCCCTGAAAACAGCAGCAGTGCCCTGCAGACCTACTGCCGCCAGGAGGGAGTGAAGGTAGCTCATCTGCACAAAAACATTTTTATACATCATCTTTTTACATTAATGCTGTCATGATATGTTGAATTTCTGTATTTTCTCCCTATAGGATGTGATAATTCCCGAGCTTATGAAAAAACTTGATATACTAGGAGATAATGGGGTTAGTTTGATCGCTTTTGTATTTTTAAAGCCAACATTTATATCCTGTAAGAATATTTCTTTCAACTTTTTTGTACAATATCTGTAGAACCTCAGAAATGAGGAGCAGGTGGCCGTGATCCAGGCTGGGACTGTGATCTCACTCTGTGAAAAGGTGAATAAAAGCCTCTCTTTAGTGACACCTTGTGGATTAATGCAGTACTGTAGGTGTAAAATCAGCCTACTAATCAGCTTTTTGCACATTTGTACTTACATTATATTTACAACTCTGCAGTTCATTGTATGCTTTTCCTTTTTAACGCACAGTGGTTGAAGCAGGTAGACAACACAGAGGCAGCACTGACTCAGAAAATGATTGACCTCGAAAATGACAAAGTAAGAAACCAATTCAGACTTTACAATTTATATTTAAAAACACACAGCATCCCATTCATGGCCCTCATTATATGGAGTCTGTATTCTCATCTTGTTGCAGGAGTTGTTCAGTAAGCAGAAGGGATTCCTTGAAGAGGAGCTGGATTACAGGAAGCAGGCTTTGGATCAGGCTTACATGGTAGGAGCCCAGTAGGGGTAACATGCAATTTAGACTTTTTAATATTCAGTTAATTTAAAATCATGTGCGATTTTATCAGAGCTGTATAAAAAGCATAATTTCTCTAGTAACTGATTAAAACATCCAAGGGGCACAACATGATCATTTCAGCATGTAACATAAGCATTGAGAAGCCCATTAACTGCTGTGAATGCAACATTTTTCATTGAAATAACATTTTTCACATTGTGTTGGGATACTGCATCTTTTACAACATAAGACCAAATTCTGTGATTGGTTTCTGGCCCCCAGTTTGCTGGGTTGATTATTTATTTCTGACCTGGTCTGGTTTTTGTTATTGATGAAGACCTTTTACTGACTTACAGTAGTCTCTGTTCAACAATTTAAATGCAGATGCTGTATATTATTTTGATATAATTTTAGGTTGTTTTTGGGTCAAGTCTAGGTAAATTGAGTAGATTTATTAAATATTTTCTGAGAAAATACAGTTACTAAGAATTTATTAACCCCCTTTTAACACACAGGAGTTTCATGTTTTGTTAGTTTTTTTTTTTTTTTACACCCTGACTTAACTTTCTTCTGTCAATCTCCATGCTTTTACCATTTTATTTGTATCCGAATGTTAGTTTGTATTTTATTTCATATTGCTTTATCTTTTTCCTTTGTATTTACTGTGTTATATAATCTTTACTGTTCTCCTAAAGAATGACAGTCTAAGCAAAGATTGTGTTAATAAAAGAAAAGGATTTCTACATAAATGTTTAATTCTAAACAGAATACTAAGTAGAATGGTATTCCTTATATATAACATGGTCACAGTGCTATGTGTGTGTGTTTCTGTGCAATCTGTGTTTCCGTTTGTATGTGCTCCTGTGTGCATGCCTGCATGTCCCTGTGCTCGTGCATGTGCACGCCTGCGTGGGTGGTTTTTTTGTACCTGTATGTGTGTGTATGTGGCTGGCTGTGCAGAGGATCGAGGAGCTGGAGGCCACGCTGTATAGCGCTCTGCAGCAGGAGCAGCCGGCATGCCAGGCGGTGGCTGAGTCGCTGACAGACAGACAGAGGGAGGAGCTGAGGCTAGCCGTGGACAAGTTGCGGCGTCAGATTCTCCGGCAGAGCCGGCAGTATGACAGTCAGATCTTACAGGAGCGCATGGAGCTCCTACAGCAGGCCCAGCAGGTAAGGCTCTAAACAAACCCAGTCAGGTTTTTACGTCCTGCCTGCCCTCAGTCTGCCCACTAATAGCTGTCTGAAACTTCTGAGCCCACCACTAGAGCTCTGGTGCTTTGAAAAAGATGCAGTATCCCTCTGTTTCTTTCCCTACAATTCTGCTGAAAGTTGACATGAAGAAATGGAAAAGCAAAAGATTAGTCAGGCTCAGGTTATCAGTGTGTGACTGTGTGTGTTTCATTGTATAGTAGTCTCACTCCTTTACTGTTCACTCACTCAAGCAGCACTCTTCGTAAATTTACACACGTGTTTATTTTTGTGCACTTGTTATTCATTAAAACCACATCAACACCCTAAAGTCATTCAAACCTGTGTACCTAGACTCATTACCATGACCAAATCTAACCAAGGAACACTTTGAACACTAACACATCATTAATGCACAACACTAACTCAATCAAAATGTCTATACCAAAGATGAAACTTTATTAAGTATAAACTTTAGTGTCAGAGTGGGAATTTCGATGTTATAGCTGATAAATTCTCTCCACAAAATAAAGTAAAAGAGTTATTTTGTGTTATAAAAATTTGTTTGTCGATTGAATGAATGATTTAAAATGGATTTGTGTTAAGATTTACAATTCTGCTGACCAGCTAACTGCCTTTGTTTTTGTGTTGCAGAGAATTAGAGAGTTGGAGGACAGGATTGACTTGCAAAAGAGACAAATAAAGGAAATAGAGGAAAAGGTACAAGCTCAGAATTTTGGGGGAAATGTTTTCTGTCCTGGTTAGTAGAATTAGCGTGTTTGAAATATTAAATTATAAATGTACCCCTATAGTAAACACACTTGTATTTCAATGGGATTTTTTTTGTGATAAGCAAACACAAAGTTGTAAAGTGGAAGTAAAAAAACTACTTTTTTTATCTATAAAGAAAAAACCTGTTAAAATGTTGACAGAGATCTTTCCTATGTTCCAGAATTACCTTTCACTGCATTGATGAAAGTCTTTGGCTGTGTCTGAACATCCACCCTAACCCCTCAATCATTATATAGAGCAGGGACTATATAGTGGACTTTATAGTGAACTCAGTTAACTTACCGTTAGGACAGGTAATCACTACTTTTCGCTCCCCATTGGTCACGTTACTCTGCCTCCCCACACGGTGCCTGCACCATCTTTATTTCTCGCCGGTACAACAAATCCCATGATGCTTTGCAGGGAGAGCTCTCCATGTCTGCTTGTCTAGTGACCATCGATGATCACTATTTTTCAAGGTGTATTTTGGGAAATTTCGAGTCTGCTACTTTTTCATCTACTAGACGTTCAGACACTCATTTAAAATGGCATAATCACTATAGAGTGCCTTATATAGTGATTAGGGTGGATGTTCAGACATAGCCTTTGTGTATCTCTATCTAAAAACCCAAATATTTCCTGTTCTTTTGAACTCAAGCTCATTCAGTTTGAACAAGAGTTTTAGTCTATATTTTAAGCCTTGTCTTTGATTGGGCCATTTTAACCCCTGAATACTGTATGCTATGATATAAACTATTTAATTGTAGCTCTGACTTTTAGTTTGGGGCAACAGCTGTTAGAATGTAAACCTCCAACAAGTGTTTTCGCTGCCTCCTTCAGCGAGTTTTAGTTTCCATGTTTGCAACTACATCCTAATTTCCATCAATGCTGTCTAGATTTCTCGTTAATGTACTTTAGGTTGCTGCATACTTGCTGTATGGTTTTTCATGTAGGCCACATTACAAATACACTCCACACTTTTCAGATATGAAATAGATTTGGGGATTTATATATCAACCTCTTTGTGTTTGTTGATGACATAAGATCCCACTGAATATAACTGAAGTTTGTAGCTATAACTGGTGAAATGTAAAAAAAAAAAAAAAAAAAAAAATGTTTGAGGGGTATAATGATTTTGTTTTATACACCAAAGCTACTGTGGTGATGTGCTTTATTGACAGCCTCTTCTATTCTTCTTTTTCTCCTTTTGTCATACACCAAAAATCCTTTTTCCCTCTTTAGTTTTTGTTCCTTTTCTTATTTTTCTCTTTAGCATTTATTCTTTGGCCTTAATGGAGGTGTCCATGGACTCTCAGGTAAATCCCGACTAACTATTGCAGTTATTTTAATGTACTAAAAGTGAGCAGGATAGTAATGGTAAACCTTTCCTCTTGTTTTCTTAGGTGTTAACTTGTTGTGGAGAGAAGCAGAGAAAACTTTATTGTCTTTTTATGTTTAGTTGTCAGTTTCAAACAACCTTATGGCCTTTTTGATAAATGTGCACTTTGCAGAAAACCCCCTACTTAGAAAGCAAGCAGATTTGAAAACTAAAATCGTATATACTTTGAAGAAAAGTGCATTGTTTATTATTACAGCACTGCATTTGTCTTTGAACCTGAAGCAATGGACTTCTTGGTGGGAATTAAATCAAACAGTTTTATTGTGAGTTTCTGAACATTTTACCAATTTGGAAAAAAAATAACAGCATGGAAGAATAGCCTCAGTGAAAAGAAGAAATGGAGGGAGGAGAAGTGAATGTTTATGAGGGGGGGCAGGCTGGGAGACGAATGGCTGTGGAGGATTCCTGTAATGAGTCTGTGGAGTTTCTATGGAAACCGGATTACAACTAAGTCCACATATAAAGACATGGAACTTACTGGAAGGATCTAACTTTAAGCAGTGGAAATAAAAATTCAGGTCTGTATAAAAGTTTGATCATTTTTAAACCTTTATTTCCCATTTTTGTAGAAATTTATTAACTTTTTTTAAAGCTTTTATAGAACACAAGTTAAAATCTGTTATGTCTTAGAATGCTGTTCTTTGTACTTCTCTGATCTGTCGTCTACAATAAGTGAAGTATTAGTCAGATTTGCTAGGTTCCTTTGCAGTCCCAACCCACAGGTTCTGGTATTAACCGTGCAATGTGGTGATGATTGACTAGACTGAAGGTGGTCAAAGTTTTAGGGATGTATCCTGCAGAGTGGTACAGTAGGAGCTTTGGGAAAGAGGAGGTTTGGTAGGAGCTGAGGTAATCTGAGCGATACTTCTGCCCAACAACTTGCCAGCAAGCTGTTGACATGTTGAATAATAGATGAAGATATTCTAAATTTTCAGTTTGTCAGTTTTCATGTCGGACATAAAGCTTGTTATTTAACCCACAACAAAGAAAAAGCTCTTAAAAGTTTTTCTTTTCATAGCTCGTCCTGCAAATAAACTTTCGTCAGAGGATAGAGGCTGGTCTACGAAGGATCACATGACCTCAACGGGCAGAGCAGGTTCTAGAAGCAGCTCTGTTACAAGGATCTGACACGGACCTGTAGTTTGTGTATAACGGACAAGGAAGACCTGAAGCACAAAGCTTTTTAAGGAACAGGTGCGAACCCGCATGACATGGGATCCAGTAACACTACACACTCCTGCTTCTTTATATGCTCACATTTAGCTGAGGAGATATCAGGTATCACAAATGGGTACCTAGAGTGTACGCTGTCATTTAAGCGTAATGTGTTTGGCAGATTTTATCCAGATCTTTGTTCTTTTTTTAGAGCAGCTTTTAAATTTTTTGTCACTAAAAATTGTGAAAATTAAATGGAGTACATAAATTTTTTTTTTAATACTTTGTTAGAATCAGAGAGCTGCAGAGTTACAAGAAGAGTCTGCTGCTTTATCTCTTAGCCTCTGCCTAAGAGCTCACAGCATGCAGCTCTCTCAGAGCCTGGACCAGAGACTCCACATGCTCAGACAGGAAGTCAGGACGATGGTGAGTGTGCTGGAAAAATCGAATTACAAATATTTGTAACTTTTTCAATAAGTTGGTTTAGAATATTATTGGCAGACTGCAACAGAACGTTTAAAAAGATATCATACATGGACAAAGCAGTATAATATGTCTTACATCATTCCTTGGAATTTAATCTGAAAAGGACAAAAACAATTATTGTTGTGTTTTGATTAAGCTGCACTGTTAGTTTTATTTTATTTTACTTATCTAAAGTTGCTTTGTGGGCTTTTGGTAAATTCTAGTTGATTTATTTGTGTGAGTGTGCAGCAGATTGTAGGAGACTGTTAATCCCATCAGGAGATGTCTGGAAAATTAATCTACTGCTTGTCATCAGTTTAAGTAGAATGAGGTTACCGGTAATAAAAGAATAACAGCTGGAGGACATGAATAAGACAATGTCCTTTGCAGGAATGGCAGGTCATGGCCACTTTTTTTTCCTTTTTTTTTTTTCTGGCTGTTTTTATTTTGTTTTTTTCCCCTAAAACTTTGCATGTGGTCAGAGTGGCTGTTATTACTAATGTCATGAGGTGATGCCTGGACACCAAAGGGGATGGTAGTCCATCTAATCCAGGGTGGCACAGCAGCACAAACCCTTGCTTACAAATGTTTTCTGTTTTCAAACACAATTTAGAGCATTAAGTAGATATGAGGAGACATGGGAGCTGTACATTGCTGTAGAAGGTCCTTATTATCCATCCGAAAGACCAAATGTCTTCTCTTTTTTGTAATGAGGAACAGAAAAAGGTCTGCCAGGCCACTCCTGTGAGTGTCCCACACCAAACAATCAGAATGATATTATTAGGAAGATGCACAGATGAAAAAATACATTCCCTTTTCTTTTTAAAAAATTACATTCTGAAAGCCTAAACTTGTATGGATATGTATGAAAATCATTCAGTAACCATGTGCAGTTTAACTTTGCTGTGATTTTTTCCCCACTAATTTTCCAACGTTTTCTGCTTCTACTCAGAGTCAGGAAAATGATCGAGAGGAGCAAGTCTGGAGAGAACGGCTACAGCGCTGTCAAAAGCAGCTAAAGGCTAAAGATGAGGAAATGAGTCGTCAGTCACAGTATTTTGAGAACTTTAAAGCTCAGCTTCAACAGAAACTCAGCCTGGCCAGAGACCGAGAGCAGAGTCTGCAGAAACGCATCTACAGTTTAGAAAAACAGCTGCTCGACGTGACTGTCAGCTCTGCTACTGGAATGGCAACAATCACAGCCGTCAGAATTACTGCTGGGACTGTAATATACAGCGATGAAATTGACAGGTTAGCGTCTCTGAGAGGGGAGGGGGAGGGCGAGGAGGAGAACAAGGACAACAGGAGGAAGCGGTGGCAGCCAAATGTTCCAGCTGTGATCAGAGAGAGGCCACGGTTTGATGAGGGTAAAACAGAATCAGACACAGAGGAAGGAAGAGACAAAGAACCAAACATTTCTTCAAACGAGACCAGACTGCAAAATTTCATCTTCAGTCTGCAGGAGGATCTCAAGGTGCTGCTGGAGAGAGAGGAAGCAGGGACAACTGAGCGGGGAAAACTGTTAGAGGAGCTCCAGGAGGCTCATGAAAATGGCCACTTCTTGGGCTGCAAAGTGGAAGAGCTGAAGGCAGAGCTGCTTCAACTGAGACAGTCAGAGAGCTCATTGACTGAGGAGATTAAAAAACTGAGAGAGGAAAACCAGAGTCTTCAGCAGATGCTCAGGGATGCAGCTAACCCCACACCTCCTCACTCATCTCTAAAACCTGAGGCACCATGCTTGATTTCAGATGCAGATTTCCTTCCCTGCAGCCCAGATGCAGAAATCAGACAGTCTTTAGCAGGAACCCTGGGAAAGGTGTGTAAGCAACAACTTTATCATTATAACCAGGCCTTAATGAACTTATTTTTGTTTATCTCAGAATTTTTCTTAAAAGCGTAATGCAGAAAGTGATACAGAAAGGAAGTGCTTGAAATAATCTAAAAAAAAAAAATCCTACAAATTATTCCTCATATATTTACTTATAGCTTTGACAGTTTTAGACACTCCTGACAATGAAAGCTAAACAGGGCTCGCTATTTACTGCTTTTATCTAACAAAAAGAATGTGGTCCATTTATTGTCTAATCAAATCATCTAATGTAATTTATCAAAGAAAACCAAACATTCTTGACCTGCATAAGTAAAAATAACAAAAGCATACAAACAATGAGTCCATTAGTTTCCTGACACTGGAAAGCTCCAATCTCCCCATAGAGAAATAATTTTCTGTTACATCAGAAATACCTATAATTTTTCTTATATACCCAAAACAAATACAGCCGAAACCATTTGTTCACATATTAAGAGCTAAAAAGTCATTCTTTTGTACTGTGCATGTTTGTGAAAGTTGCATTTTAGCGCATTTTTGATAAATTCATTAACTTTTGAGAAACATTTGCCACAGATCGATTTAAAGAGAATTAACAGGATTAATAGTAGAAATCTATCATTTACAAAATATATGCTTTTGTTGCCTCAAAGCATATATCCCCAACTGTAAAGTGATTCTTAAAGGACCTGAAAGAAGTCGATCAAAGTAACTGATGTCGGTTGATGGACTAAAATTGATTTTTACTTCCTTTATTGAAAAGTAAAAAAAATAAATAAATAAAAAAGTGTGTGTGTATATATATAGATAGATAGATAGATAGATAGATAGATAGATAGATAGATAGATAGATAGATAGATTTGAGTCATTTATGGTCATATTGATCAACTGAATTAATTTAATATTTACATGACAGACATGTAAATATTCAATTGAATTTTAAGCATTACAGATCTACTTTTCTATTATAGTATAACAATATTCACTGTTTATAATTTCTCAACTGCTAACTAGATTGTAAACAATTGTTTGCTTCCCTTTAACTTTTAGTACTTGTTGATATTTTTTTGATTTTTGTAGGTGCAGCTAAATGCAAATGAGAAAATCTGTCAGCCTGCTTTGTCTACAATTCCACCCATTGACCATCGGGGTGCAGCAGAGCACAAGCTGAACAACAGAGAGAATCGTTTTCCCCCAGCCAGTTCAAAAGCGCCAAACCAAAATCCTCTCAACCTCTTTGACCAAATTGGCTCCAAAGCTCATCCAGAGTTCCAGTCACTTTCTTTTTCCACAGAGTCTCTTTCTCAGCCTAAACTGGGAAGCATGGAGGAAAATCCTAGTGAGGAATCTGATGCCCTGAGGGCAGCCTTTCAAAGCCTGGGCTTTGGTGATGATTTGCAAGCTCTTAAAGAACAACGTGACAAACTGGAGATTGAACTTCAGCGCACAACAGCAGAGCTACAGGCAAAAGCTCAGGAGAATGCTGACTTAAAGTTACTGCTCAGGAGGGAAGATAAACAACAACAGAGTGAAAAAGAGCAGAGCTCATCAAAAAATAAGGTATTTCATGTGTCTTTTCTCTCTAAAAGGTTTAACTCTACCTTCAATGTACTTCATTATCAATTTTTTTATTTTTTTATTTCTATGTTTTGTAGATTACCACCCCATCCTCTTGTAAAAGTGATCATCATCCTCAATTATATTCTTCCAATGATGATGCAGCATTTGACCTTGCTCAGACTGAGCTCATCCAAGCCCTTAACCAGGAAAACCGGGCTTTGGCGGACAGAATCCAAGAGCTGCGGGCTCACATTGAACTCAGAGAAGAAGAGATAAAGAAGGAGCAAACTGCCCTGAGGGGACATGTTTGTAGGCTGGAAGAGGACTGTGTCAGGCTGGAGCAGGAGAACCAGGAGCAACTTGGTTTGATCTCAGAACTCACCAGGAAGACAGAGGATGATCTGAATACTATCATGGAGCTTCAGCAAAAGTTAGAAGAGAGCAGAGAGGAACCAAGGACTCTGGGGAAAAGTGAACACCAGGCTGGAATAGTGCATGAATTTCAAGAAGAATATGTGGAGAGTTTAGTTGACGGTTTTCTTAAAGCAGATGAAAAAGCCAAGTTGATTTTCAGTCAGACAGCTGACAGTGTGACCACAGCCTCCTTGTCTAGTTGTCAGGAAAATGTTCAGCATGACTCATTACAAAATATCTCTCAGAAAAGTCTGTATGTTGGTCCTCTGACAGATGAAGTAACCCAGCTCAACACGTCAATCCAAAGCCTCAAAACCCAACAAAAAGAGCTGACAGCCAACATCAGTTCTCTCAGAGAAGAGCAGAAAGAAGTCGCTCTGTCGGTCCAAAGACAAACGGAAGAAAAACAGCAGTTAACTCGCTCAGTATGGGCACTGAAGGAGCAGAAAGATTGCATCTTTCAGTCTCTGCATAACCTAAAACAAGAGAAAGAGCAGCTGAACAGGGCCGTCTGCACTTTGAAGGATGAGAGGGATCAGTGTTTAAGGTCCATCAGTGGTCTAAATGGAGAGAAAGAGGAGCTAGCTCTGTCTTTATCAGCTCTCCAAAGAGACAAAGATGTGATAAAAGAATTTATTTCAAGTGTTGAAGAAGAGAGAGATCGGATCATGAAGTCTCTGCAGAGTTTACAGACGGAGAGCGACCAGTTAAGCCAAACAGTTCTTCATTTGAAAAAACAACGAGACCAGCTAACCGATTCACTCAAAGGTCTCAGAGAACAGAGAGACCAGGAGCAGCTAACTCACTCTTTAAAAAATGAGTGTGACCAGCTGACAATGACTGTCAGCAGTTTGAAAGAAGAAGAGGAAAAGCTGCAGCAATCAATCATCTGCTTAAAGCAAGAACAAAGCAGCATAAAGCAAATCATTTTAGATTTAAAAGAGGAGAGATACAGCCTTCAAACACATGCAAAAGAGATCAACCAGAAGCTGAATCTAAGCAGGGAGGATATGACAAACAGAACTGGGGAAACAGAAGATGCTCCAAGATGTGAGATCAGTGAAAACAGTGGAAAGTCTGAACAGGTATCAAGGTCATATTTAGTCATGTCCACCTGTCCATTTTATCTATTATTATTCGTATGTCATCCTGTAGAGCATCATATTATTTCAAACTAATGACTCTGTTCTCACTCCACCTGTTTTTAACGGATGATAGAATGAATCTGACCTGATGAGGAAGATTGAGGCTTTGAGAGCTGAATTAATTAGGTCAAGAGAGGAACTGGAAAAGAGTCATGCAGAGGTGAGCGCAAGCTGCTTCTCCTCTCTAATGGGAAGAGTTGTAAATACATGGATGGTCATTATTGTCTGTCTCCTACTTGCAGATCAGTAAAGTAAACATTGAGTTGTCTCAGGCAGAGGCCAGGTGTGAAGTGGCAGAAAAAAAGGCAGCTGAGCTGGTGATGAGACTGAGAGAATCAGCCACTGAGAGGGAAGACATCATGAAGGAATATGAGGGCAAAGCAAAGCAGGTAATTAATCAAATGCTGGGTTATTTTAACCTTGTTCCCCAAAAGCTCTAAAACTATCTAATCTTTTTATTTGATCTAATAATTTTTAATAACATTGCATTAGGAGTCCCAAAGATAAACCTTCCTTATAAAAAAACAAAACTCCCGCTTTATGTTGACTGTAACAAAGGACACAAAGAAAGAATTTCTGTACATAGTTAAATCTATATACACTTCTTAAGATCGCTTTCCTGAGCTAAGATCAGTTTTTTTTTTTCTTTTTTTTTTTACAAGACATGACATCAATCAATTTGAGATGCCTGATCTGAAAATTAAAAATACCTTAAACTGTTTACAGCAGCTATGTTTAATCCCAACATCTATTCATTTCTGGATTTTTTTTTTTTGAGTCCATCAGTTCTTAACATCATGTATTCTGAACCCTGTAATCAGGGTTTCTGCGAGTCATTAAAAAATCATGAAATGTCAGTAAATTATTATTTTTTAAATGAAGGTCTTAATTGGCATTAAAATTCATTTAATGTGTTTATTGTGGCATTTAAAGTGCTTTCTTTTAAAAATATTGTTTATAAAAACAATTTCATCAAACATATTATATCACGATGTATTTGTGTGGAACTGCTTCCGGTTGATCGCAAAGCCGTATGTTTAGAAAAAGCTAGAGAATGGGGGGAAAAAGGACAATTTCAACAAAAGTGGCTGGAAAACGAGGAAATCGAGACATGGCTGCAGCCTGTTGACGCGTACCTATTGGTGGCATTAAAATTATTTATAAGAGCATTAAAAAGCATTAAGTTGGAGTTATTAATTCCTGTATAATCCCCGGTAATGTTGGTCAACAGGCCACAGCTTGCTTTACCACTATGACTTTTATAGAGTCTTTACTTCTTGTCTTTAAAGGTCATATTGCTACTGTTTTATTTAAAAACAACTAAAAAAAAAAAGTCTCTGTGTTTCTTTTTCTGGAGGCTGCATGGGGGCTGCTGCTGTTGCGCATTGTTGACGACTTATTCCTGGGGCGTCTGGCTGCTTTGAGGAGGCAGTGTCCTCTTGTCCTTTGCTGGGTGGCAGGCTATTTTCTACTTGCAGCGCTGCACCTCCATGTGACAAACTCACTAATACATTCCCACTAAACATAAACACACCTAGCTTTAAACATACACTCACACACAAAGAATCATATCTACATGGTTGAAGGTCAAACAAACACAGGTTACTATTTTATCCATGAGGCCTGCCTACTAGATGCTGGACAGAATCTGGATTTAATAAAGTCAATCGTGTCGTTAGGATACCATCGGAAGATATTCTCTCCTGTATGAGTCTATTATATTCCTTAAAAGCATTTATGAACATAACTGGATCTCCCTTTTTCCATTCAAGCTCAGATAAACTGCTTTTCTGCATTAGGTCTGACTGCTGGTTTCGTCTGCTGCAGGTGAAGGAGCTGCAGAATAAACTGATGAACCTGCTCAGGGAGAAGACTGATGCTCTGTCTTTGAAGGCACAATCAGAGGAGCAATATAACATCCTTTCTGCACAGCTCAAAGCTAAGGCACGGTTGTTTGTTTTTCTTTATGTCTCAGCATTCATTCACGAGAACATTTATTTAAGTAACAACCAGCCTGTGAAAATGTAAGGCTTATAGAGTGTTGCTGCATAGACATATAACAAGATGATATTGACATTTCTCATTTGATCACGTTCATTGTTCTTTGGCTGTTTAAAGTAGTCCCATTAATTTGTCCTTGATGTGAAGTATGTGTGTAACCCCCACAGACCGTCGCTCTGGAGGAGCTCAACTCGGAGTACATTGCTCTGAAACGAGGGCAGGGCAGCAGAGATGATCAGTCCTCTGCAATCTGCTCCCTCAGAGCACGCTACAGTGACATCAGAGCTAAGGTGAGATACCAGCCAGCTGTTTATTTGAGGCTCAGTCTTAATTTGTTGACTGAAAAGTTCATGCATTTGTTTTTATTTGCAGTATGATCTACTTCTTAAAAGAAAAGGCCAAACTGATCTGGATGTTGCTCCCTTAAAGGTGAAGATATGAACATGTCTGTCTTGAATAGTTTTTCACGGTTACTGTTTTTGCTGCTGAACAGCTCTCTGTGGTTGATTTTTGCTTACAGACTTTTTTTCCCCAATAACAGGCCAAGCTGTCCTGCCTGGTGGTGAAGTGTCAGGAGAGAAACAGCTTGTTAGCTGAGATGATGAAGTCCATGCACAGGCGAGGCTGTTTAGAGCCCAGGCTGACGCAGCAGGCTGAGCATCTGCTCAGTGATGCTGCTCTGCAGGAATACACTGCTGCGTTCTCGCCAAAAAGCAAAAGCCAACTTAATGACTTTACCCGAGATTTTTTTTCAGTTTTTCAAGGCTGCAATAGTGGTTTCATGCCTGATCCAACCGGCCCTGTTGAATCAAGCTGTTTGATTAAGCATCCAAAAGAGGTCTCACCAGTACCTGGAGCTCAGTTTGGTAAAAGTGAAAAGTGCTCTTTGATGTTTGGCGGTGAGACTACAACAAATCCTCAAGACTGCTTTAAAGATGCACATGCAGCAGCAGAAGCGCTGAAGAAAAACTCCTCAGTTTCCACATCTCCTTCAAGTAGTATAACGTCCCCTGCTGTCCCATTAAAGGAGAAAATGTTCACTAACTGTCTGCAGGTGAGGAAATATAGAAAACTGTACTGGGTAACAGTTAAAAATGCTTAATAGATCTAAACTATAATACATTCTAGCAAGTGGTTAAAACAAAGATGATTCACAGCAACAGTCCAAAAGGGGGATAACATTTAGGAAGATAATTCTGAGGACCAGCGTTACGTTATCCAAATTAGATTAAAGCAAGCCCTAAAATAGCAGCCCTGTTATACCAAGGTCAAGTACCTTCAAATAACCCAGGTAATTCAACCAGCTAGCTAAGATCTGTTTTGTTCAATTTTTTAGGTTTTTCCTTTATTTAAAATAAAAAAGAAAATCTACTGAGGTTCTTAAAATTGTCATCAGCTTTAAAAACATCTGAAAACATTTTTAGATGAACCCCATGCCCTTTCTGTTCTGCTTCATGTTACATCCCCTAAATATTTCAACCAGTGGATTGTAGGAATTAGTCTAAACAACCACTGATGGAACCAATTATGTTTTTAATCAAAGTTTTTTGTAACTTGCAAGCAAAATGAATGTTTTATACCTTTATGTGTGATTATTATAGAAAAAACTAGAATTTCGACAGCAAATTATAATCACCTCATTTATTTTAAAGACAGGATTTACCTGGAATTAAAACACCCTAATTGCTTTTCAAGCTTAATAAATCTTGTGACTCTCTTTACACATAAGAAAAAGGAAAAAAAACAAGGTCTAGATTTTAGGTACACCTAAATGTATTCCTTATCTATACGCACTTTAACAATAACCAGCTGCATTTCTATTAAGGTGAAATAAAAAAGGCTCCTCATATACAAACATTAGGTTTTTCTAATCTTTCTCTGCAGGGACGGCCTTAAGTTGTCAGTAAACATAAACATTCTTCTGCCGGGGACCTTGTTTGTAGAAACTGGACACTGGTTTGCTCCAGTGCTATTTGTTTTCATACATGTTATTGATAATTTAGTGCATAACTTATTTTTCTCTGGTTCCTCTTGTGGTAACAAAATATCAAGAAAATTGTTCTGCTTGCCTATGCGTTTGTTTCCAAGTTTCTCCTACATAGCTGTTGGTTAAGCCTCAGCTGCCTTTAAAAAAAAGATGGACACGGACACTATAAAAAAACTGAAATCGAAAAAATTATTTTTCTCTTAAAATAAGTGCATTTGTTCTTGAATTGAGGATGTACAGTAAGTGAGACACTTTGCCAATAGAACAAGGCAATTTACATTTAAATAAAGAAAAAAACAATTGCGTTGTCTTTGGTGCACATTATTTAATTATCTTATTTTAAGAGTAAAAATAATAATTCCATTTGCAATCATCTTATTTACCTACTCAAACTAAGGGTAAATACACTTAGTTTAAGAAATGTTGACTTATTTCTGGATCGTTTTCGCAGTGGAGAACCAGTGATGTATAGAGAACATGATAAATAAATGGGATTAAATACAAATAGTCAATTACTCAAACAAATGCTGCATTTGATATAAAACAGCAGATATAAGTAACTTGGCTCAGATATAAATGGGAGATACAATCACATTTTTATGAAATCTTTGTATTTGTTCTACTATAAGGTTGTTATAACAAACTTCTTTGATCATTTTTAAAATGAACTTCAAATGAGAAATTGTAGTAAATCTAACACAGCACTGTATCAATCCCTGCTTAGCTTTCTTCTACCACTGGATCACCCCAGGCAACCTGCTGGCCAGCGGAAATTGACTCTGTTCATTTAAAGATGAAAGAGAAATGCTCAAACCCAGCTGAGTTTGGGGAACTGTCTCAAAGTCCTACAGCGGTTTCTAGCAAACAAGTCAGTCCAAGCAGGAGACTGAGCAGTCCTGAGAAGATTCTCAACCTGCAAGAAGAATTGCAGAGGACTCTAATGGACATCTCTCAGGTACCCTCAGGCATAAATGTTGGATAGGATACTAAAGTATTTTTGGAACTCTTCACTTTTAGTCTTTTTATTGAAAAGTTAAATAATTGTTTAAGCTGATTTGTCTATTGTTGTTTGTCTTCTCTCAAAGGTGCCGGAGAGCAGAGGAAGAGGAAAGGAACCTCGGCGAAAACTCTCACTTTCAGACCCTACAGAACGAGACTATCCCAAAACAACTGGACAAAACTTTTCTGTCATTGTTCAACGTCCTGACTATCTTCCACTCTCAAATTTTTCTTCTGCCACTAAACACAACCCAGTCCTAACTACTAAAACTAACACCTCTAACAAGTCACCAACTCTTTTTAATGCAGTTTCTTCTCGGTCTGCCAATGCCAAATTAACTCCAAGCATAATCACTTCCTGTCACCTTAAATCAGACGGATCCTCAGAACTTTTAACCTCTTCTGATTCTTCTTTAAACTCTGCAATTCACAGAAAAGACAGCTCCATCTGTAGTGAAGAGAACAAGCTAACAACACACAAAAAGCAGGGAAAGAAAAGCCCCACCATGCTTAATGTATCAGATGAAACAAACACAGAGACATTTCATAGTTTCTGTAGTGAATCTGTTGGTTTTTCTTCTGCAAGATCTCACAAGGCTGCTGCAGATTCCACTGCTTTGTTGGAAAATACTTCAAGAGACAGACCAGGTAATGAGCAAATACAATAATTCAGGATTATTCAGCTTCATGTTTTTTTTGTTTTTGTTTTTTTTTGGCCAAAGAAAGTTATGGGTTGTAAGGGTTTCCTGAAAGACTGATTCTACTCACTTTCAGGAACCTATTTCACGTCAAATTTACGGTTTGTTTGTTTTTTTCGTCCATTTTTTAATGATTTTTGAGACAGACAAATAATCCCAACATGATTTAATTTATTGTAAAAGTGAAATTTGACCGAGCTACATGGCATTTACGTATAGGTGCAAATGAACTATTTGCTTTCGAGGGAATTATACAAATCTTGAACACTCCTATGTTCCAGTAATTTGTTTCAGTAGAATTGAGAAACCAATTACATTAAGAATACATTCAAATCCTCCTGATATCCCTGTTGCCATGTTTGCTCCTCCTACTCCAAGATAACAGGGGAAGAAACTTTGTTTATACATAATTGTTTTTATGTAATTTTAAGTTTGTCAATGATGTACTATTCAGATGTACTCTGAGATGGAGTAGATGTTGCACTGTTATACAGCACTATATTAGTTTTCTTTGCATATTGCTGTGATACGTTTACACCTCCCAATATACCCTTTCCTCTGTGCCTTTCTGTTAAATGGATGAAAATGCAGCAGCACACTCCAGTGCCCATTCTAGTTTAGTGTTCCCTATTTATTGCCTGCACAACACACTGCTGTATACGATTATTATGTTTTAATGCATCATTTGGGCCTATTAACTCTCTCTGAATATACTGTGTTGTGTTTTGTTTCTTTGGTTAGAATTTGAAATATGAAAATAGCTTGTCCTTCTCCAGAAAAGAAATAAAATAATAATCTAACTCTATTTAGGAGCTCCAGCGGAGGTTCGCTCTGTTGAGGTCATTAAAAGAGTGGGACAGAGCAGCCTTCTGATTGGCTGGGAGCGGCCGCCTCTCGACGAGCTCGGCTGCAGCAATGCCACGTTTGTGTATGGATACAGGGTAGGTGGAAGAAATATTTTCCCTAGATTTACAGATTTTCTTTTACTTTATTGCCTTTTTCGGGGGAGGGGTTATTTATTGTGTACAAGTACAGCATTTCCTTTTAAACCTTCAGGTTTTTGTAAACAAGGAATTCCACAAATCTGTCATGAGCTCCGCGTGTACTAAGGTAAAAGCCCTTTTTCCAATTTACATAACTTTTTTACCTAAAAGAAATGCTTATGGATTGTATGTGTTATTTTTGTTTCAGTGTATTCTGGAGAACATCTACCTAAGTGTCCCTGTCCACATTGGTGTCCAGACTTTGGGCTCTAATGGACTCTGTTCTGACAGTGTCTACACCATTTATGCCAACGGAGAATAATAAGCAACCCTGGCTCTAGCAGCTAGACTTCATCAGACCTCTCAGTGGGAAAGAACTGCAGGTAATACTGTTAGATATGTGCTGTCTGTTTGGTTTTGTATCTCGTGTGTTTCAGATTGTTGTGCATCTGCTGCAATGGAGCACATTCTCCACAGAAACTGATTGTTTGGCTTATTTGATCATTTGATGCTCAATATACAGAAAACTAACACGTCTGTCAGTAAAAACATAAACCTGTTACTAATACTCAATACCAACTACTGCTTTGATACACATCCGACCAGAGAAGCAGACTGAGTTCAGCTAAAAAAGGATTGTCACAGGAAGCTAAGCAGTGGTTTTTCCACCTATAAATCCTTCCACATTACTTTCTGACTCTCCTTCCTATGATGACCCAATCCCCAATAAGTTGGCACTTTTTGTAATGAAATGCAGACTGAACTGTGTCAAGATTAACAGATCTGAGTTGAGCCCACTAAACCTTTAGCTGGGGCAGCTTGATGTAGGCCACACTTTTCATTTAAAAAAAAAAACATTTGTTCTCTTTTCAAATGAGAATTATTTGCAACTTTTAAGAAAATCCTAATCAAATATATAAATGTTTACGGTTGTAGTGAGAAAAGGTTTATGCAGGTGTCAATACTTGGAGGATGCTGTAAATTTAGTCTGATTAGATTCTTCCCGTTGTTTTCAGTGTACCAATAAAAGCAACTCTTGGTCATTTCAAACCAGACTGTAACAGTCTCTGCCTTTTGTCCTGTGTTTGTTTCACCTGCAGAGCAAAGCCGTCTAAAGCCACAGTCAACTGCACGGACATCCAACCCCAACCTTAGCTAAGCAAACTCTGGGACAATCCTGCCAACCAGTCTGGAAAAAGAAAAATTGTTTTTAACATGGAGCAACCTTAAGCAGACATTTAAACCTCAAAACCTTCACATGAAGATGTCAAAGGAAATGAGCTCTCTGCTTCTGCAATCACAGGTCATTTCCTGTTTAAAAAAAATGCTTATTTCTCATTGGAGTAACTTTGCGTTTTACCTGCCGAACTCCTAGATGTGGTGTTTTCAGAACATTGAGACAGTCAGCCGTAATCACCGTTAAATGAGTAAATATATCTTTATCTCAAAGCCAAGAAATGTTAAGATAAAAAGGCATCATTGACACGGAAGTATATTGACTTATCTTCATGGATATGTTAGTGATGTCTGTATTATACTGTGTGGACAACATGCTTCATCAAGGAGCTCTACCGCTGCCTCTCTGGACTCTACACGTTTAGCATCCAGCTAAAGGAACATTTCATTCCTTTGAACTGAAAACAGGTCAGACCTGATGGTCACACTACTTGATTTTTATACATGAAGCCAAATATGTTGAAATGACGATTCACTCCAAAGACTTGTCTGTTCCCCTCCTCTCACATGTCTACAGAACTTCTTTTACTGCAGAAGATTAAATTACATTCAAATAAAAAATGCACAAAGGGATTATTTAGATCTTGAAGAAGAAATTTTAACAATGAGATAATCACTAATATTTTTTCTAAAGAATATTATTAAAAAAAAGATTATGCGAATATAATTTACCTCACACTGTATCTGTTTTTGTATCAGTGACACTTCATACTTAGTGTTTGCACTCAGATTATTTTCCTTTATTTTGATAAATGTTCACAGCACACATAGTAAATTGTTTTGCTACAGGCTCTAAATATGTGTGTAGAGTGATCTTGGTGCAGAAAAAGGTATTTTTCTATCAGTTATTGATGTTGACTTCCCACTGATTCATTCTTATTGTACCAAGAATAAATATTTATAAGATACTAATATTAAGGTGTGTGTGTCTCTTCATTTGCCATGAAAAGCTGTGTTTAATTTATTTAAAATAATATGATAGTCCAGGGAGAGAAAGCATATTTTCCTCTTATATCTACAATGAAACGTATTGCTGCTAAATATTTAAAACTCTTCTACTGTACACTAGAGGGCAGTCACTAGATGTATGTTTATGTGATTAGGAAAGTCAAATCTGACAGGTGTTCTTCATAGAGATTTTCTTCAAGCATGCATCTGAAAACATTGCATTAAACATTACAAGAATATATCTTCATTTAGGACCAACCAGACACAACAGCAAAATCAGTGAAAGAATAAGAAGCACAAGCAGCAAAAAAAGAGCTTATTAATCACCTGCTGTGCTCGACAGCTTTGAGAGCTCCTCTGAGATCGTTACTGCTCGAGCTCAGCAGAAAGAATGAGCCTACGGCAGAAGAGGGAGAGAGAGTATGTGAAAACATAGGTGTGTAAATTACAGATTCAAGAAGGCTGCAGAGTAAATTTACTTTACAAAGTATAAATTGAATGTTAGTCTTGTTGATAAATCCAACTGCAGCACGACAAGTATTTTGATTAGTTATGTTTGAAAGAGATAAAGTACCCCATAGTGATTTTAAAAATACTTCAGTATTAATCCCAAATTCTCAGACTGTTACTTTTATTCTCTGCATCTAAATAGGGATTCAGCTTGCATTTTATGTATTAAAAGGCAAAAAATACAAGCTTAAAGGTTTTATTTATGTGTATTAAAAGATTGTGGTTGAAAGCTTAGCTGAGCTTTTTCTCTAGATGTTCTGGTTGCCACCCACTTTCTATAAAATGTGTTTTCAATTAAATTCCGTTTTAATTATATTGCAACAATCCCTAATAAATATCACCTCTAGCCAATTTACAGAGAAAATCCAATCATACAGACGAATTGGAAAAAGGGTTCCATCTAAGGATACCCAGCTGTTTGCACTGAATCATTATAATTCTTTACTCCTGGATGAGCATGTAGCAACAGCACACGTTTGTTTCCATTGTGTTGTTGACCTTTTAGCAGAAATCACCACACCAAGCATGGATGAAGCCACAGTGGAGAGGAAAAATATACAGCACACGGGATTAAACAAACCTCTAACAGAACCAGGCTCCTTGTTAGCAACTTCTGGCTGAGGTTGACTGGAGGTTTGAGAAGACAGAGTAGACGTGAACAGGAGCATAGAACCACTGATTTATAAATACTTTCTACTGTATTTTAGAGACGACAAATTAGCTCTATAGCTGGTTCTGCCTGGTTAATGCAAGTTCAGCAGATGAGCTCTGAGTGAGTTTTTGTCAAAAGGGATGAAAGAGAGCACATGCAGTAAAAGCTGAGCCACCAGCTATGTCTGGGAGAGAAACAGGACTAAACAATGAAAAACAGGCCCAACTCCATCTTCTATTGTTAAAGTTGTTGATGCAGCAGCCCAGCTAATGCCTTCCTCCATGATTGTGTCACAGCTGTACAGAGAACCAGGCCAGATGT